TCGTGGAATACTGTCACTTGGGTGAGTTGCCACCGGGGAGAAGTGGTCTTAAGAGTTTACTGTGTTTTCATTCAGGCTTCACCTGACAAACAAAGTGGTTAGTTCTGGAGGGAGTTTCCGGTAGTGAAGATCAGGGTCAGCAGAGCTATGATTTTAGAACAACTGCTTGAGTCACCTGAACCTCTTTGACAGGCAGCATGAGTTTTGGTGAGAAACTGGGAAAACCTACTTCCTTTTCTTTCTTTCCCAAGTTTGCCTAGGGGCAACTTACCAGCTTGAGCTTCCCACAGAGCCTAGACTAGCCTTACACACTTCTAGGAACACCTGTCGAAACCACCAGTTGAGTACACATTCACCGGGATTTCTGTGACATCTGATCCTGAGTTCCTTCCTAAGTCTTCCTGCTGTGCGTTGGTGCCAAGCCTGACTCCTGATTTTATCTTTCAGAATTTCAGGCTCTTTCTGCTCTGAGCCCTTCAGTGTGTGCCTGCTTACCCCTGAACACTGACATACTAAAGCCACATGGTCCATTATGCCCTCAGCAATTTCTTTAACTGCTAAAGCAATGCCATCTACTCCCCTCTCTGTGAAGGCACCCATACCTACATCCCTAGTGGTATGGTACTTCTCATGAGTTGCCTCAGATTCCTGATGGCACTTCAAACCCAGCCCATCAAATGTGATCCTGCTCTTTACTCCTGATCTGTTAGCAGCCCAAGAGCAATGGAGAACCAACAGCCAACATCCCAACTCCTCCCACTGCAGTGGCCCTCAGTGTCTATCAGTTGCCAAAAGTTATTTTTTTGCGTCACAACTCTGGGCACAGATTTTGAGCCCCTGAGGTCTTGTAACTTGCCACAGCCCCTTCCATTTTCTTCTCTCCACAAGATACTGGGGAGTGCAATGGGAACACAGTATTTCTCAAAATGAAAAGAAAAAACAGACCGGAGGATCAGCGGAACAGACTAGAGGACAAAGACACAACCACAAACACACTTAAAAAAAAAAAAAAAACCACACTCAGCCACCTAATCTTTGATAAAGGGGCCAAACAAACTCACTGGAAGAACCATAGCCTCTTTAATAAATGGTGCTGGAAAAATTGGCTTGCTACCTGCCAAAGACTGAAAATAGACCCAAG